TGGTGGGGGCGGGGGCGTTGGGGGGCCCGCCATGCCTGAAGCCATTGGGCAGGAGGGAGCAGGGAGAGACGGCCGCCCGGCAGAGTGGGAGAGCCTCCCCAGGACCCCGGCAAGGAGCCAGGGGTCCGAGCCAGAATCCCTGACACCCCGGAGGAGCGAGGGCTGGCGCTCCGGCCTGCTGCCTCAGAACTGCCCCCCACAGCCCACGCGGGGCGGTCCGCAACCCCGGGCGCTCACCTTTGGGGTTGTAGCAGGTCTCGAAGACATGCAGCTGGTGTGGATTGTGTGTGAACGTAAACACCTTGATCATGGAGTCCAGAACCACCACGATCCTGCAGAGGACACACCGTCAGGGAGTTCTGGCTAGCCTGTGGCCTGGGGTCAGGGGGCTGCACCCCACGTGGCCAACCCACAGTTCAAGTCCGGGAGCTGGCTTGGCGAGTGTGTGTGCATGCCCAAAATCCTGAGAGGAATCCGAGCCAGAATCCCTGACACCCCGGAGGAGCGAGGGCTGGCGCTCCGGCCTGCTGCCTCAGAACTGCCCCCCACAGCCCACGCGGGGCGGTCCGCAACCCCGGGCGCTCACCTTTGGGGTTGTAGCAGGTCTCGAAGACATGCAGCTGGTGTGGATTGTGTGTGAACGTAAACACCTTGATCATGGAGTCCAGAACCACCACGATCCTGCAGAGGACACACCGTCAGGGAGTTCTGGCTAGCCTGTGGCCTGGGGTCAGGGGGCTGCACCCCACGTGGCCAACCCACAGTTCAAGTCCGGGAGCTGGCTTGGCGAGTGTGTGTGCATGCCCAAAATCCTGAGAGGAAAATGGAGAAGGAACTGCAGCAGGGCCATCCCCGGAGGGGTGTGTGATTTCTGAACTCACGCTGAAGCTCAGAACCAAGGGAAAAGCCACAGAAAGCACGGTCCTGAACCGGGGCCAATGCGAGCAGGCCCAGGACAGCAGGTCCCACGAGTCCGAGGCACCTGTGCAGCGCGAGGGCAGCCCAGGAGTGTCCCAAGGCACTAAGAAACGTTAGCACTGAACGCTTGGTTGAGAATAAGACCTGAGTAAAAGGGGCCAGCAGACGGAGTGGTGGCTAGGGCGTGGGATTCCCACAAGACCAATCGCAGTTTGAGTCCTAGGCCCGGCGGCCTGAAAATCATGCCGGCATTCACGTGTGCCAGGATCCCGAGAGAAGAACGGAGAAGAAACTGCTGTGGGTGAGTTCTCACTTTCCCTGCTCTCTGCTCTCTGGCAAGTGCACATGCCCCCTGACAAAAACTTAAAAAGTTAAAAATAAAAACAAATCTGGGTGAGAAGAAGTACAGCCCCGCCTGGCTCACGCACCAGGGCCAACTTTCACACTGTCACCACCAGAGCCGCGGCCCACACACACCCGTGTTCTTTATTTTAAGAGCGATTTTTGCTATAGGGCACGTGCGCTCACCACAGAGAGCGACAGAGAGTGAGAAATCACCCCCAAGGGGACGGCCGCACCATAATCCCTTCCCGTCTCTCCTCTCGGGATTCTGGGCGGCGCACACACGCACCCAGTGTGAGCTTTAAGCTGTCAGGTCCAGGACCTGAACCACGTCGACTACTTGGGCGTCCATTGCATCATCTGGCCCCTCCCTGACCAGCTGCCTGGTGGGCATTTACTTGAGAGGGAGCAGAAGATGGCACCCGGGGCGGGGTGGCCACGCACGGCCCTTCCCCTCCACGTCTCCTTCCCACGCGTGCGGTGTGCTCTCCAGCCCCGGGCCAGGGCGCCAACTGCGGCTGGTTTTCCTGGCCCCTCAGCCCGGGCCACAGGCCGCTCTGGACCCACTCCTGTCAGTGGGTGAGACTTGGCGTGCCTCCCACCGGGGCTCCCAGAGCTTCTGTTCCGCTCAGGCTGAAAACGGGACAGGCAGCTCTGGGAGAGCAGAGGCTCCCTGCGGGCCTGGGGCTCTCCCGGGTGCGGCCACGGCAGAGCCAGGCACACGGCACACGTGCCGGCCGGGGCTCGCACCAGGGGCCGGGGGCACTGTCCCGTGGACCCAAACCCGCCACCAGCTTCCCTCTCCCGTGCTGGATGGCGCGAGACCTGCCACAAACGGGGGAGGGAGTGCCCAGGCGACTCCCACCACCGCCCCTCTGCCTGCCTGGAGGCTGTGCGGCCCAGGGGCCCAGGGCTGGGCGCAGTGGGCCACGTGGGCACGGCTGCCCTAACAGCAGACTAGGCGCGCACACTGGCGCTCACACACTGCCCTTCCTGGGGAAGCGACCTCTGAAGGAAGCGAAGCTCCTCTAAGTCGCCGACCCAGACTCACCGATCACGCCGCAGCTTGACCGCCTTGACCTCCGTGGAGAACTCGATCTCGATGACGGTCTTCTTTTTCAGGTCATCCCAGATCATCACTGAAATGTCAGAAGGGCCGTGGCTGCGACCGTGAGCAGACGTGGGCCACACAGAGCCACCCTCACCCCACACCGCTGTCCCACCGTCCCCGCCGAGGCGGCACCCCAGACTCCCCGCCCTCCCCCGGCTTGACTGCGGGCTGCCCACTGCTCCCTCCATGCCTCCCCGCAGCCACAGTTGCAAGGCTGGCCCCGGCCTCAGCCCACCCGTCTCCCGCTCTGCACACGACTCCCACGCCCTGTCCCATTACTTCGGCACACGCCACCCTCCTGCCTCCAAGCTGCCACCTGACTGCCTGACCGGTCTTGGGCACCGAGGGGCTGGAGGCGGCCACTTCAGCCCCAAATGGCGTCCATGCCACATCGATGCTGAGGGACAGGCCAAGGCCAGGGCCCCCGACCCTGCCCCGGACAGAGACCCTCCATGTGCACCCACACGCCACATCCTCCGGCGGCAGAGCAGCGTCCACACTCCAACAGCTAGACCATCACGGCTCGCCCCCAGGAGGCCCCCAGAGCACGCGGAGCGCACACACGGACCACACGCCTATCCCAGAGAAGCCAGCTGAGATCAGAGGCCATGGTCAATGATGAGGGCCACGTCCTCGCTGGATGGTCCCACACCACGGACACGCTCTCAGGGCAGGGCAGGTGAGCTCCACCCCAGAGAGAAGGCCAGCAGGACTCAGTCACTGCCCAGTCACATCAAAGGCACTCGCAGCCCAGAGGCGGATCCGACCTGAAGCCATTCGACAGTGACACTGGATCCTGCCTGCTCCATGAACACCCCGTGCTGGTGAGCCTTGGAACCATGAGACCAGCAGATGGAGTAATGGCTGTCGCTGGACTCCCACGTAGTTGACCGCACTTCGAGTCACGCCAGGCATGTGTGTGTGCGTGCCCAAGACCCCGAGAGAATGGAGGAGAAGGGACTGTGGCATGGCCATCCCCCCGGGGGATGATTTCTCGCTTTCCATCTCTGTCTGTCCACCAAGCACACATGCTCTATAGCAAAAAATCTCTCTTAAGCAAGCAAATAAAAAAAAGCAAACAAACAAACAACTAGTTTCTTCGTTTGTGAAAAACAGGATAAAGCAATCCTGGAGGCTGCATGACAGAGGGAGCAAGGGAGCTCCGCTGAGCTACGGGCGCTTTTTCCGGCAGAGCAGAACGGAGCTGAGAGGAGAGAGAAGAGTTCTGGAATCTCGATTTTTTTTTTTTTGGTAAGATGGAAATTTAATCTGTAATTATTAAAATATTCAAGAGGTAATTTAAGTATTATTGAAAAATACAGGTTTAATCTTACAATGCTAAGCAGACCAAGTTCTTTTTAAAGATGGCCTACAGGGGCCAGCAGGTGGCCGGGGTGGACCAGTCAGAGCCCTCGCCCTGGCAGCTGGCATCCTCATTTCCCTGCCCCTCTCTAATGGGCCCATGTACCCTACAGCATATTAAATAATAAAAATAGTCATTCCCCAAACATAAAAGTAAATAAAAACTGCCTACAGCAAGAAACAATCTAAATAAGCCTGGATCTGATTTTTAAAAAATCAGATGGGGGACCAGCAGGTGGCATGATGGTTAAGTTGCTGGACTCCCAGGTGGCCAGCATGGTTCAAGTCCCAGACCTGATTGCGTGCCTTCTCACTTTCACTTTCTCTGTGTGTGTGTGTGTGTGTGTGTGTGTGTGTGTTTCTGTCTCTCTCTGGTCAAATTAAATGAGTGAATAAATACAATTTTTAAAAAAATTAGATGGAAGCTGACAGGCGGTGGTTAAGGCGATGGACTCCCACATGGCTGACCATGGTTTGAATCCTGGACCTGGCAGCTTGCTTTCTCACCTTCCCTGTATCTCTCTCTGATCAAATTAAAAAATAAAAAATTAAATTAAATAATCCTTTAAAAAAAGGGGGGCTAGTTAAAAACAATCAGATCAGGGGCTGGCATGTGGCGGGCTGGCATGTGGCGGGCTGGTTAGGGCCCTGGGCTCCCACACGGCTGACCCTGGCTTGAGTCCCGGACCTGGCAGCTTGCTTTCTCCCTTTGTCTCCCTCTCAGTCACTCACTCTGTCCCTCTCTGGTCAAAATTAAAATAAATAACTAAATAAATAAAGTTAAATAAAATTAAATTTAAAAAATCAGATCAATAAATAGCTTCCAAAACAGAAAGTGCCAGGCCCAGATGAAGGTGCTGGTAAATCGTAACTAACCAGCAACGGAAGGAATCAGTCTCCAGGGTCTCGTGCGGAGGACAGCCGCCGAGGGACACTCCTCGATTCACTCCCCGAGGTCGGAAGGACCCCAAGACCCCAACCAGACAGAGACGGCACAGGCTGAGGAGAACCACGCCACCTTGTGGACACCTGCGGAGAAGCACCTGACAAACCCAGCTTTCGCTCAGGGGAAAGCTCAACAAACCAGCCAGGTCCCAGCACCGGGAAGGACGCCAGCGCCAACCTTCTCGGCCGCACTCCCGGGAGCCTCACAGGCCCGGAAGCAGAGAGGGGTGCACTCCCCGGACAACCCGGGGCTGCTCACGCTGTCTGCCCAAGCGGGGCAAAACCCGTCGGCCCCAGAGGCTGCACACAGGGGCTCTCGGCAGCTTCACCGGAGCTGGAATCTGGGAGGCCTCAGGCATGTCCTTCGGGAAGGGTGTGAGCCTGCCGTGGCTCAGCCTGAGACGGTTGGCCAAGGCAGGACGTGGGGGCCCTTCGGCACTCCGGAAAGGCTGAAGCCTGCAGACGGTGAAGGGCACCAGCCATGCCGGGGGGCCGGGCCGACGACTGTGTGGCACTGACAGTGGACAGCCACCGAGCGTCAGTCCACACCCACCCTGACGGGGACGAGTGACTTGGCGGCCACTGGCTGCAAGTCTCCTGTGGTGTGGGGTCAGGGCTCCAGCTCAGCATGTTGCAACCCTGCATGGCCACGCTGGCTGGGAGAGGAAGGCTGCTCCTAGACTCTGCACTGCGGGGAACTCGGACTCTTTCCTCTGAATCTGTAAAATTTCTTTTTCATTCGTTTTTGGAGAGGATTTTCCTATAGGACAGGCACTCAACAGAAAGAGACAGAGAGACAGAAAGCGAGAAATCACCCCCCAGGGGGGATGGTCACGCCGCAATCCCTTCTCCTCCACTCTCCTCTCGGGATTCTGGGCACGCACGCACATGCGCCCGGCGTGAGTTTAAGCCACCGGGTCCAGGACTGGAACTGCAGTCGACTACATGGGAGTCCAGCAACATAGCCATTACGCCAACTGCTGGTCCTTAGAACTGTAAAATTTCTAAGATTTTACACTTCTAGGACAACTTAAATTTCTTTTTTTTTGAAGGTTTTTGCCATGGAGCGTATGTGCACACTGAAGAGAGGGGAAAAGTGAGACTCACCCTCTAGAGGGGATGGTCCTGCCGTAATCCCTTTTTTTTTTTTTTAAAAAGGAATTACTTCTTTTTTAAAGAATCACTTTGTGTGTTTATTTATTTTTAATTTGAGCCAGAGAGCGAGGGGGGGGGGAGTGAGAAAGCATGGCACCAGGTCCACGACTCGAGCTGTGGCCAGCCCTGTGGGAGTCCAGCACACCCCCGGGCCACCCGCTGCCCGCCCCACACCCCTGCCTCTTCCATCCTCCTCCTGGGGTTGGACGTACACCCCGGACCGGTGTGATCTTCACACCGCCGGGTCAGGAACTGAGCCGTAGTCTGCCACGTGGGCTCTAGCCCCTTAGCCACCACGCGCGCCATGCGCTAGCCCCACGTAACGCACGCCTCTACACCAGCACGAGTTACAGGTGAGAGGCTGGGTGGTCATGGCAGCCCCACCACAGGGAGCCAGGGAGCCAGCCAGCCCTTCCCTCCTCCCATCATGACCGGGCCAGGATGCCACTCCCACTGAGGCCAGACCCTGAAACCCTGGACTGCTGCAGGGCCAGGGTCTGACCTCAGCCTCCCACTGTCCCGCCTGGTCTGCGACAGCCCTGCTCCAGGGCGGCACCCCACCCAACCCCAGGGCAACCAGCCCTCACCTGGGCAGATCTCCCTCGTGTCACCCACGGCCTCGATCCTGCATCAAGCCTAGCTGTCCCCAATGGCAGGGTCTCGACCAGACCATGAGCCCAGTCCTGCGTGACCCACCCTCGGCCACCCTGGCCCTCGGCCTCCTTTCTGCCACCGCAGGCCTTTCCTAGAGAGCCCTAAGGCTGCCCCTCCAGCCCACGTCCCCCTCGGGCCTCACCTCCAGCACTCGGTGCTGGTGAGCGTGCCTCCCCTCCACCCCACCCGTGCACCGTGCTTCCAGACCAGCACATCCCCACACCCTAGGCTCCTCTGCCCGGCACAGAGGCCACCCCTGCCCACCCCAGCCCACTCTTCTCAGCGCCCCGGGACCAGCAGCTGGCTCCTGCGGCTCACAGGCTCAGCTATGGTTGGAGGGCACGACGGCCCACAGGCCATGTGTCTGCATGCATGCGCCCCAAACCAAGAGCCAAAGGGTTTCTGTCCCGCACTGCCTCCACACCAGCATGTCTGAGCCAGGGTGCTCAGGAGACACATGCCCCACGTGTGCTGCGGGCGCCCGCCTAGCTCCCCCAGCACTCCGGAAGAGCTTCCCAGGGACCAGCCCGCACACTTTCACCGGGCTCAGACTGCGGTCGCGCCGACGCTCGAGGGCCACTCTGCACGCCCAGACGCACCTTTGTTGGGGGGGTACTTCGGCTTCTTGCCCCCACCAACCAGAGCCAAGTAGTTGCAGCGGAACAGCATCTCAACGTGGCCTACTCCTCCTTCCAGAAACTCTGAAACAAGTTTGGAAATAGCAGTTTTTAGAAATTGGTACATATAACTTTTAATAAGAGACAAGACAGGCCGGGACCCCTCAGCATGACACGCTTTCCTCTTCCTTTGCACGAGGACACGTCTGGGGCAGCCGGGCCCCAGTGGGCGTCCTGTCATGGCCCCCGACCTCTCCTGCCCGTGTACCAGTCCCCCATCCCGTCAGGTCGGGGGCACGCCTGACACGCCTCTCTGAGCTATCGGGGTCAGGATTCGAACCCACTGGCCACGTGGGGTCCGATGCTCATAACCACCAGGCTACGGGAAAGCCCACAAACAACTTCTCTTTTTACTTTTTCTTCTTTATTGTTTTTAGAAGTGTTTTATTTACTTTTATTTATTTGCTTGCTTTAATTTGACCAGAGAGGGGAAATGAGTGAGAGAGATAAAGTGAGAAAGCAAGCTGCAAGGTCCGGGACTTGAACCACAGGTCAGCAATGTGGGAGTCCAGCACCCTTAACCACTACGCCACCTGCTGGCCCCTCTTTAAAAAAGTATTTAATTAATTTTACTTCTCGTTATTATTTTCTTCTGTTGTTGTTGTTGCTGTTTTCCAATTTGACCAGAACGAGAGAGAGGAGAGAAAAGCAAGCCGCCAGGTCCGGGACTCAAACCGCAGTCAGCCACGTTAAAGTCCAGTGCCCTAGCCACCACGCCACCTGCCCCGAACAACCACCTTCCCTCCAGACGGGGAACAGCCCCACAGCCTCTCTGGGTTAGCCCTGCTCCAACAGGGTGTGGCTGTGGCCCAGAGCCGACCTCCGAGCTGGCATGTGGCCTCCTCACCCCTCACGACACCGGGGCCTTCCTGCCGGCCGCACACAGCCCTGAGCCCAGCACTGAAGAGGGGCGAGCTGACGACCCAGAAACACCGGGTAACTGCTGACCGCTGACGGGAAGCCGCGGCCCACACGTGGATGGATTACCCTACCCCACAGAGAGGGGCGGAGAGGGGTGCAGACCTGCAGGACCCACTGGAAGAAAATGCCGGCAGGTGCTTCCTGACACCGAGCGTGGAGTGACGCTGGGGCAACACCAAAGGGGACACGGGTGGCCACAGCACAACTGACAGGCAAGGCTGCTGTGCCCAGGGGGAAGGCGGCCCACGAACAGGGAGAGACGCTGCCCATCTCAGGCCTGGTGCAGGGGTGCAGGGGTACCACAGAGTGTGCAGGGCCTTAAGCTCAACCAAGGAGTCAAATGACCCAAAATGACACGGGGCTGGCCCACAGCGCAGCAGCTAGGCACCAGCACTGGGCCCGAGCGCCCCTCAGCCAGCCGACAGCACACTGGGTGCATGTGTGCACCCCGAATCCTAGTGGGGAGGAGAAGGGCTGAGGTGTGGCCACACCGTGGGGGTCTCTGCCCCAGTATGGCCTGCTCTGTCTCTGGTCATATTTTCATAACAACAAATGAATTAAAGACCTTAACAAGTTAATCTGGCCAAGGATGTGAAGAGACATTTCTCCAAGCCGGTAAGCACAGAAGCAGAGCTGGGTCCCCAGGCGGCTCGGAGCCGGAGCAAGCAGGCTCGAGTAAATGCACGCCCTTTCCTGAGGGGAAGCCCGCCCCCCAGCTCCCCTCGCTCCCTCCTCCCCGCCTCGCTCTGCTGTGCACAGGCACCCTCCAGCAATAAAAGCTTTTGTTTGTTTCTTGAGTTTTTTGCCAAAGGGAGAGAGGACAGAGATGGTGGAGACGGTTAGAGGGAAAGCGAGACCGAGACCTGGGGGTGGCCACACCCCGGTCCTTCCTCGTTCTCTTCCTGGGATTTTGGCCACAAACGCACACATGCCCAGCATGAGTTTCAAGCCACCGGGTCCAGGACTCAAACTGCAGTCAGCCATGTGGGAGTTCAGCAACATAACTGTTACACCATCTGCTGGTCCCAATAATTTTTTTTTTTGAAGAACAAAAATAGGGAGTCAGGGAGAACCTACAGGTGACATACTGGTTAAGGGTTGCACTTAAAGTCCTGGGTCTAGTGACCTCAAGCTCATGCCAGGTGCCATATGCAACTGAGAGCCCAAGAGAACGGAGAAGTGACCGCAGCGTGGCCATGCCTCCAAGGGGTGATTTTTCGCCTTCTCTCTGTCTCTGTCTCTCTCAAGGGAGCACACTCGCCCTATAGCAACAACTAAAGAAAAAGGAAGCAAAGAGAAGACGCCTTTACGACCGCTAGAGAAAGGCACATCCACACTGCAGGGTGCGCGGGCTGGCTCCCTGACCAGCCGTCAGCCAGGGCGTGCGGGGCGGGGAGGCTGAGACAGGAGGGCCACAAGCTCGATGCCGGCCTGGGCGACACCGCCAGACACCGCTGGGGTGGGTGGGCATGGTGGTGCAGGCTGTGCTCCCAGCTGGGAGGTTGGGGCAGGAGTCACGTGGCAGGACCTGCTAGGAAACGCAGAACCACAGTGACACCCCACCCCGACCATCAGGGCACGGAGGACGCCACGCGTGACGTCTCCTACAGGCATGGTGCACGCCGCCAGACGGCCGCTGTGGACGTACACGGTGCGGCTGCAAAGACTAGAAACACATCAGGCGTGTGCACATACACGCCCCAGGTCCCAACGGGAAGGACAGATGGAGAGGGGCTGTGGTGCACCCCGCCCCACCAGGGACACGTTCCCCTCTCTGCTGAGCTCATGTGGCCTCTAGCCAAACAAACGCATGTGCACCACCCAATCCAGCAACCCCGCTTCTGGGTGTGTCCAGGCCCCGGGCAGCAGGGTCTCAAAGATGTCCGTAGGCCCCTGCTCACAGCAGAGAAGAGCTCACGGATCCCGAGGGTGCCGGTGCTCACGTCTGCAAGTCCCTGGGTCCCAGGGCCGCCCACACCAGCACAGCAGGGCTGCAGAAGCAAATGGAACAGGACACTGCGGGACACGGAGCAGGACACTGTGTCAGACACGGAGCAGGGCACGGAGCAGGGCACGGAGCAGAACACTGTGTCAGACACGGAGCAGGACACGGAGCGGGGCACGGAGCAGGGCACAGAGCGGGACACAGTGTTGGACACGGAGCAGAACACGGAGTAGGGCACGGAGCAGGGCACAGAGCGGGACACAGTGTTGGACACAGAGCAGGACACGGAGCAGGGCATGGAACGGGGCACGGAGCGGGATACGGAGCGGAGCATGCAGCAGGGCACGGAGCGGGACACGGAGCGGGACACAGTGTTGGACACGGAGCAGAACACGGAGCGGGACACGGAGCAGGACACCGAGCAGGACACCGAGCAGGCTCCAGCATACACCGAGTCCAGCAGGGAGCAAGGAGGGGGTCAGCCCAGCTTCCCGGGCCGGCCGCTTCCTGACCCTGCCAGGCCGCAGGCACACCTGAAGGGCAGCTCACAGCCCAACCGTGGCCCCCACACCGAGCCTCGGAGACGAGCTGAAACCAGGATGCAGGACGGACCGCTGCGGGCACCCTCTCCTCACCAAGCACGGAACGGGCCACTAAGAAAGGAACCACCGGTCCGACCACACAGCGGGAAACACACGCAGTTACCCCAAGCGCACGGCGGCCTTCGGCTGTGCATCAACAGGCGGGTCTGGCCCCACCCTGAGCTGCTCACATGGCCAGACCCGCACACACCACACCAACACACCTGTGTCCTTCATTACAATCCACACTCGGGACCAGGCTGCCCCACACACGGCAACGCCAGGCACGGCACGGGAAACAGCAAGCAGGGAACCGCGACGGCGAAGCGTGCACATGTGTGTGTGCGCAATTCTGGAACTCAGGTGCTTCTGGCCCCGTTCCTTCTTCAGGGTTTTGCGGCAGGGCACATGAGCTCGCCAGAGACAGACGCAGGGGATGGCTATGCTGCGAGCCCTTCTCCTCCAGTCTCCTCAGGATCGACAAACACGCACATGCACACATGTGTGCCCAGCATGATTTTCAAGTCACAGGTCCGGGACTCGACCTGCAGTTGGCCACGTGGGCTGCAGCTCCTTCATCTCCATGCCCGGCTGGTTCCAGCTCACGTCCACACAGAGTCAGGAGGAGCACAGACACTGCACCCACAGGTCACAGGAGCTGCCGAGTGGCTAAAGCCCCCGGAGCCGCTCAGCGAGGAGCACCGAGACCACAGACGGCAGACAGGCTGCGGCACCGGGTGGCCACGCAGTCGGCCTAAAACACGCCAGGCACATGTGCATGTGTGCCCGAAATCCCACGAGGAGAATGGAGAAGGGACTGCGGCATGGCCATCCTGGGGAGTGTGTGTGTCTGTGTGTGATTTCTCGCTTTCTGTCTCTGTCTCTCTGGCAAACGCGCACACTCTACGGCGAAAATCTCTCCAATAAATAAATAAAACCAAGATGCTTTATTTTTTTTTTTTTAATGTTTTGTTATAGGGTGTACGCACTTGCCAGAGAGACGGAGGTGGGGGGAGTGACAAAGCACACCCCAGGGGGATGGCCACATAGCAATCCTTCTCCCTCCAATCTCCTCTCAGGATTTTGGGCGGGCACACACATTCACCTGACTTGATTTTCTTTTTCTTTTTTTTGGAGAGGTTTTTGCTATAGGGTGCATGCGCTCGCCAGAAAAACAGAGACATAGAGACGGAAAGCGAGAAATCATCCCCCGGGGGGATGGCCACACCGCAATACTTTCTCCTCCATTCTCCTCTCGGGATCTTGGGCACACACGCACACACGTCCGGCGTGAGTTCAAGCCACCGGGTCCAGGACTCGAACCGCGGTCAACTACATGGGAGTCCAGCGACATCGCCATTACGCCAACTGCTGGTCCCGACCTGGCATGATTTTCAAGCCACTGGCTCCAAAACTTGAATCACTGTCGGCCACGCAGGATCCAGTGTCTTAACTTCTGCACCACCTACCAGCCCCATAGTCAAGCTGTTTTAAAACGTTGTGCATGGCCAGCAGGTGGCGTGGTGGTTAAGGCGCTGGACTCCACCTGGTTGACTGCAGTTCGAGTCCCGGGCCTGGCAGATGGCTTTCTCTCTTGCTCTCTGGTAAGCACACATGCCCTATGGTGAATTAAATTACTGTAATAATGAATATGAATTAACTTTTAAAAATGTAACCACAGTCATCCCTCAGGAGGTGGACACTGGTTCCAGGACTCCCAGGGGGGAGCTGTTGTAAAGATACTCAGAGGACAGAAACTTAACTAATGTGGTATTAAAAAGGGCCCCCGGGCCGGCAAGGGCATGACCGTTAAGGTGCTGGATGCCCACGTGGCCGGCCACATCTGGAGCCCTGGACCCAGAGGCTTGGCAATCATGACAGCACGTGTGCACATTTGCACCCAAAGTCCCGGGAGGAGACGGGGGAGACGGAGCCACAGCATGGCCACCCCCGGGCAGGGGGCTTCTCGCTTTCTCTCTCTAGTGAATAAACAAACTCTACAGCAAAAAGCTAAAAGAAAGGTAGGCCACCCTGGGCACCCGTAGAAGGCTCCCGGTACCTTTATCAGAACACAGACATGGGGCCAGCAGGGTGCGTGGTCTCTCACAGGGCCGAGCACGGTTCAAGGCCTGGACCTAGTGGCTGGCTTTCTCACTTTCCCTCTCCCTCTCCCTCTCTCTTGCTTTCTCTCACGCTATCCCTCTCCGGTCAAATTTAAATAACTAAATAAAGTTAAATAAAATAATTCTTTAAAAAAGAAGAAAAGGACACACACACAGATACGGACACAGGCATGCACGCTTGCTCTACCGCTGTACGGCGTGACGGGCCAACTCAGGACTCTGCAGAGAACCCCCCAGCAAGAACACCTCGGCAGCTACGGCCCCCACGCCCCCAAAACCACATGTTAAATAAACCTGCACACCTCAAGGATTTCTGTAACTGGCAAGAGCGCACGCTCTTGTCACACAGAACCTGAGGCCCACCCGGCACCTGGGAGCTCCTAGCCACCAGGTTACGAAGCCTTCGTAATACGTGAAGACTGGGGCTTGGCTGTAAGAAATTAACTTCCAGGAATAAAGCTCGTATTCTAGAGCTGCACCAAAAAATCTCACTTGAAAAAGTTTGCTGGCACGGTGCTTAAGGCACCGCACTCCCACATGGTCAGCCACAGTTCGAGTCCTGGATCTGGTGGCTTGCTTTCTCACTTTCCCTCTAGCAAGCATACATGCCCTACAGAAAAATTAAATAATAATAAATAAAATTAAAAAGAAAGTTTCCAATACCAAAAAAAGCAGGACACTGGAAGTCCCTGATGAAGGTTACCAGTTGCTCAAATGGAAACAGCCTACCCAGAGAACCAGGAGCCAGGAGACCCTGCAGAACCTCTGACGGACGGCAAGCGGCCCTAGCCCTGAAATTTAACAAGTGCACTGAAGAAAACCAAAACATCAACTCCAGGGAGAAAGGACTTTTCTCTTTTTTGGCAATTTTAGGAGATTTTTATCAGCAGTGTGCTTTATTCTCCTCATGGGGAAGGTCCAGAAATGCCCAAAGTTTAAGTTAATGGCGTAACGGCTGTGTCGCTGGACTCGCAAGTGTGGCTGAAGTCCCGGACCTGGCGGCTTTTACCTCTAGCCAGACGCATGTATGTGTGCCCAAGATCCCGAGAGGACAATGGAGAAGGGACTGTGGCGTGACCATCCCCCTTGGAGCAATTTCTCACTTTCCCTTTTTGTCTGTCTCTCTGGCTAGCGCACATGAACTATGGCAAAAAAACTAACAAAAAATATAAATACACCTTGTCCTCCCAAACAGCGCCAGCCAGGGCGGAAGACAGGAAGAGACGTGAGCGGCTCCCGCTGCACGGTGACCTGCCCCCAGCAGAGCTGCAGGTCCTACTCACTTCTGGAGACAGCCGCCCCACCTGCGGGACCAAACTCGGGCTCCCTTCAGCCGGGGCCACGCCTTACCCTGTTTCTCCTTCTCCTTCAGCGGGTCGGTGTTGTAGACGCGGAATCCGTTCTCCATCCCACATGCGAAGCACCCTGAAGCAGAGAAAGGTGTCACCCCAGAGTGGCCAAAGCAAGCTGTCTGTGGAGACTGGCCCAGCGTGGCACTCCTGCAGACGCTCAAACCACACACCACGCCAGAGCGTGAAGCCATGGTCCCCACATCCCAGAGGACAGCTTCTGTCCGTGGTTCGGCGCAGAGAAGCGACTATGGCCTCGCCCGTGCCACGTCCCCACGGCAGGGCCCTCCTGTGGGCAAGGCCTCTGCTCCTTCAACCCCGGTCCGGAGCCCGGAGCTGCTTCTGCAGCCTGTCCCCACGGCATTTCCCGAGCCTGTGTGCCACTCCTCTAATGGTCCTGGGGCGGCGACGGCCAGCCTGAAGCCATGTCCTGGCGGGTGGCGAGAAGCAAACGAGCCTGGCTCCGGGGCCGGGGCAGGCGGGGGTGGAGGACTGCTCCTCGTCGCCTTCGGGTGGGGGTTTCCTGGAAGGAAGTCTGAGTCCTACCACGGCACTGCCCGCCAGTACAGCACCCGGAGCCAGCACGAGCCCCAGTCACTACCTCCACATCACGCGGCACGGCAGTGGCCGACGAAGGCGCTGTTAGCGGTGACTGAGATGACAGACGTGAATGCCAGCGCCCGGGACCTGGACTTGCGACTTCCTTCACCAAATGCAACCCAGACACACGCATCTCCTTAAACGCGGTCCGGCTACAGGGTCACACGCAAGGTCGCCACGCCTGGTTCCGCACAGTGGAACACAAAGGCCCTTACATCACACCTGCGGGCTCAGGCCCCGTTCCGTCAGGGAGCCACACCTTTCTGAACACGGAAGGCACGCCTATGAGCTTGGTCCAACTTACCTATAAACCTGCGGGGTCTGGACAGATCTGAGGACCCACCCTCCCACTGGCCCATTTGCTCCGAGGTGTCAGTTACCTGGGCCAGGAGCCTGGAACCTGCTTTAAAGTTTGAAGTGCTGTGTTACCACCTCTCAGATCCCCACCCAGAGAGTTCTGCCCTAGTGTGCACTCGTGGGAGGAGGAAGACAGCAAGAAACCACCCCCGGGGGATGCTCACACTGCAATCCCTTTCCAGTCTCCTCTCGGGATCTTGGCACACGCACACCAACAGTCCCCGGCGTGAGTTCTGACCGCAGTCGACTACGTGGGAGTCCGGTGACAACCACTGTGCCATCTGCTGGGCCCAGAAGTGCCCCTTAGTGTCCCTGGAACCTGTTAAGTGGGGCTTGAGCTCTGGCTGCGGGCAGGAGACAGCACGGGACCCAACTTCATCCTCTCTGGCTACTACGGCACCTCCTCCAAGCAGTGAGCCCGGCCTGTGGTTTCCGCCGGACACTTCTGTTCTCCAGAGAGATGCTACATTCACCCATAAAGCCACGAGAAACAGGCACTCAACCTGGACATAAGACACCTGGACGCTTCCCGAGAGGAAGCCCAGACGGCCAGCAAACACGCCGTCAGGGAACCAGTCAGACACGGCACGGCCCACTCCACTACGTCTCGGCAACGAGGCCAGGCAGCAGACACAGAGCTGGGCACCTGCTGTGGGATGAGGGGACAGGAGCCTGGGCACCTGCTGTGGGATGAGGGGACAGGAGCCTGGGCACCTGCTGGGAGACATGCAGGTGGGACCTTGCACTGTTGGGAGCCGTGCCCGCAGAAGTGACAGTGTGGCCCACCCAGACGTGCCCCCAGGGGCCTAGCAGCATCACGGTGGCAGCAGCGGGGACCTGAGACCTTCCGAATGTCCCCTGCCGTGGGACGGTAAGTGACGGCAACACGTCCCAGAGAACGGGAACAAGGCAGCTGGGCCAGTCCAGAGCAGGAAAAGGCGACGCTGACAGCTGTCAGGTGGGCAGGGACAGGGCAGCCAGACAGGCCAGCTGCTCGGCCGGGAACACGCTGGCTGAGCTCGGGGACCCCCTTGGGGCTGTCTCTGGACTCCCACGGGAAGCCCCAGGTGTGGCACGGCCCGTGGAAGCGCCCCGC